AAGAGAAGATTAAAATGGATGTGAAACCCCACATTTAGGGTTCAGTTTTAATCTCTAAACAACTCAAAGAGATAAAACTGAAGGAAAATTGGAGAAGGCCAAGCCAACCCTTTCATTTCCTATGCAAATTGAAGTGAGTCCCTGCAGGACATCTTCCAAAAATGTTTGTTCCTATTGTGGCTTCACCTTCAGCTTGGACTCTATGATTTCTTCCCCTATGCTTTGTACACAACAATTACTTTAGCACAAAGCAGAAAGGGAAGATGAAGGTTTAGTGTTCATGAGTGTGTATGAGGATGTGTGTCTGTGTGATACTTTCATACTGTACATATTAGTGTCAAGATGTGACAATTCTGAATTATGACTTCTGAAACAAGCAGTTTTAACAGATTTTAGTGCTCTAATATAGGTGTTCTTAACTTGGGCTCCATGGTAGATTTTGGGGGCTCTGGAAACTTAGATGAGAAAAAATACATTTATATCATCACTAACCTCTAACTGAAATTTAGTATAATTCAATAATAAATTGTTTTAAAACTTCATCCTGAAAAAGAGATATAGGAAAAGTTTGTGTGTGTGTGTGTGTGTGTGTGTGTGTGTGTGTGTGTGTGTGTTGTGTAAAGGTTCAGAGGTCCTGATTTAATGTGATTTCTGAATCAGGCAGGTTTAGATTATTTTAATGCTCTGCTTTCTTTCTTTCTTTTTTTTTTTTGCTCTGCTTTTTAAATACAGAATTTGGCAACTCATCTTTGATGGATAGGGAGGTGCTTGTAGGAGGCAATGGAGAGAATACTATAAATGAAGTCAGGAGGATCTGAATTTCAATCCTCCAGTGGCAGGAGACATGCCATTTTACTAGGGGTATGGCTATGGCCAAATTATTTGACCCCCAAGAGTCTCAGTTTCCTCATTTATAAAATGTGAGTAAATAGAACTAAGGGTGGGAGGTAGAAAAAATAAATGTTTGCTTATGAAAAATTAAAAAATAAAAGATTAAAATAATATTCAAATATATGAATGTTCCTTTTTGAATAAAGAGATTTATACATTTTTAGTAGGGAAGTTAAAAGCAGCAGACAGTAAAAATGCTGTACATATGAATGAATATGCAAGTTCCTTTGGATAAGACAAGGATTTTTTTTTTAAAGCACATGTAAATGTGAACTTGAAAGAAAAATCACTGACAACTGGTATATTTTTATATTAAACATGTTTTACAGCATGACAAACATGCAGACCAAAGGACCGTGAACTATTTTTTTCTCCATAGAAAACATTTACTGCTGTTTAGTTGGTTATCAACAAGGAGAGAGAAAATAAAAGAAAGAAAAGAAAGACGAATACATACACTGTATAATGGTGGAAAGAAACTATTAAAAACATCATTAAAAGCTGGTTGTCAAAGGTCCAAATGGAGAAAAATTATTGATGTTAATAATGGTAATTATGACAGTTGCCACCGACCTATAGAACAAAGTCGGGAAGCTGCTTACTAAGAACTGTGGTCCTGGCAATAATGGCTAGAGAGGAAACATATACAAAGGTGATTGATGGGGCTATTCTGAAGGTCACTGAACTATCAAAATGTGATGATGCCATCCAATTAACTACCCCATAAAAATCCAAGATTATTTATTGAAAAGAATTTTGTGGAGTCTGTAGAACAGCATATTACAAATTCCTGCTGCATGTACAGAGCAGGCGAACGCCTGATCTAATGTACTATTAAGCCATTGTAGCTTTGCTCTACATATTTTAAGCATTAAACTAATTATGATGAGGCTTAGCCTGACTATGCTGTATATTTAATCTTTTTTAAGAGCCTATCAAATTGAATCACACAATACAACTTGTTTATGCTATAAGCAAACACATGCAATATTAACAGTACTCAGTACACTGGCTTAATTAGAAAAACCTCAGTGTTGTCTTAAATACATTTAGTGATATAATATTGTGCTGTTCTCATCTGAACTCGCCATTTAATTATATTTTAAACATAATTTATGTGACTTGAAAAGTTGGTTTTTTTTTTTTGCTTTGTTGAAGGTTGGTCTATTGACCTCTTCAAAGGAATCATAAGAATCCCATAATTAGAGTTAGAAGAAACCCCAGAAGTCACTCACACTAACCCATACAAAGAAAGGGATCCTCACAATAACACAGCCGACAAGCGAACATCTAGCCTCTGCTTTCAGACCTTCAAGGTAAGGCAACCCATTGCCTCTCTAAGTAGCTCATTCCTCTTCAGTACAATTTCAAGGTGTTAGGGTTTTCTGTTTGTTTGTTGTTATTTTTTTTTTCTCCCTGATATCAAGCCTAAATTTCTCTTTGAAAATTCCACTCATTGGCATCTCTGCTGAACAGGCAGTGTAGTCTGAGATCCTATCCCTCCTTCATTCCCAAACAATGGGAGGCCATTAGGAAGCACCGAGAGCAGCGTAGACTATTGGCATCATTACCAGAATAAGCTGGTTTATTTGTTTCATTTGCTTCCCATGCTTCCCCATCACATTTATTTTGCTCTTCCTTCAGCTGCTTGTGGCTACCTTGGAGTCCACTCTTGTGGTATACCCGATGGCTGAAATGCACCGTCTGCTAGCAATAACCAACCATCATCTGAAATGCTCTTCAAAATCCACCTTTTCCACAAGGTCAGTCAGTCAACAAGCATTTATTAAGCCCTTACTATGTGCCTGGTATTGTGTTAAGCATTGAAGGTATGATGATAAAAGTGACAGTGCCTGCCCTCAAGGAGTTTTTATTCTATTGAAGGAAATATATAAACATATATATAAATATATTTATGTAAATTTAATATATTTAAATAAATAAATACATTTATTTATTTAATATTTAAATAAATATATTTAAATATTAAATATAAATGAATTTAATATATTTTATATATTTAAATAAATATATATAAATATAAATATATATAAAATCTCCCCAGTTTAAAAAAGCAAGGAGGATTTACTTTGCAAGTATAAATGCCATACTCTATCTTCATTCAACAGCCTATGGAATGGACATTTTTTTTTTGCTTAAATACAGTTAACATATAGTTTAACATGCTAACGTCTTTAAAGAATAATGGAAGAGAAAGAACCCATCCAAGTTCACATCAAGAACTGATAGAGCATTAGAAATTCCCAACATTGATATGAGTTGAATGAATGCCGTTGCTTGTATGAGCTTTGTTTCAATGTCTTCTTCTCGTTTATGGTTTTTCAGGTCCCAATGCACTGTCTTGGCCACCATTTGCATTCATCCACTGTGCCATTAATGACCTGAATATTATTACCAGCTTATGAGCTCACCACATTGGTAGGCCCTGTCTCAACAGTTTCCATTTTCCATAGAGTCACAGGACTTAGAGCTAAAAGAGGTCTCATCTAGTCCCAGAACTATAACTAAAGTGAGATGACAAGGGCCTCATCTCCAGGTTACTGGGACAATAGGGACAAAGTTCTCACCCCTTCTCCTGTGGTCTGCTTGTGTTACAAGTTCCACCACTCTTACCTCTTCCCGTTGTAATTACCACTGAACTGAGCTAAGATAGTCTTTTGTTCTTTGTGCCACCCCTATGCCCATTTAACTGTGTCCTTTCTCATTCTTTATGCCATTACCATTCCTTCTGCTGAATTTGCCCTAGAGTACCCTAGTGTTCTAGAGAAAGCAATAGCTTTCTTTAATCTAACAGCCTCATCTTAAGAGATGAGGATCCCAATAACAAAAAAAGATTTAATGACTTTGCCAAAGTAGTTAATAGTGGGGGCAAAATTTAAATCAAGGTCCTCTGTCAGTGTGGTTCAGTGGAAATAGCACTAGCCATGGAGTTAGAAGGCTTGAATCACTTAACCTCTCTGTATCCTCTGAGGTCCATTCTAACACTTGATCTCGGACCCTAAGACTAAATCCAGACATTTTTTCAGTTTAACCACTGCCTGTCAAGGCATATTATGTGATACTGTGTTTCCAAGCAAAACTGGTAGCAAGAGTCAACCTTGGCTAGCCTCATGAAGAAAAAAATCCATGCCTCTATGCAATCACTTGGGATCCTGAGGTTCTTCTCAATTGGCTGCCTGAGGAATCAATCAATCAATTAACGAGCATTTATTACATGCTCACTATGGGCCAAGTGAAGTGTTAAGCTCTGGATACAAAGAAAAAGGGAAAAAAATCCCTGTCCTCAAGAAGCTATTATTTTAATGGTGGAGACAATATGTACATAAGTAGGTTTACACTATACATACAGAGTACATTGAAGGTAATCTCAGAGGGGAAGGCACTAGCAGCTCAGGGGAATGGGAGGGGCCTCAAGAGGGAAGATGAATCTTGAAGGAAGCCAAGATGTAGAGGTGAGGAAGGAACACTTTCTAGGAAGGAAGGAACTCAAGAGTCAACAATCAACCTCAATATATTATAAGGGAGGTAAAATTGTGGTCAAGGAACATATGAGCATGTCAACATCATGTGGAAAGGTTTCACAGTTGGGTTTTTTTTTTTTGTGGCTCTCATAGTGGCTAACCACAGTTAAGAAAGTCTCACTCCATGTGATAAACTACCTTTATGAGATCTGTAGGGGGAATGTAATGGACAGAAGTCTTGGAGTCCAGAAGACCTGTGTTCTGGCCCAGCCTCTGATACACATCAGCTGAGGAATCAGGAGGAAGTAAGTCACTTAAAATTCTCAGCTCTTGAGGTAACTCTCTAAGCTAAATAATGACAGGTGAGCAGTGGAGGGAGCACCTACACAGGGCATTTCCCACAGGGATAAATCATAGATGAAGACAACACCTTTTCCTCCTTTAACTGCCCCCCTGCCCCACAAAGGGAGAAGATGTAGGCCTGGTCCATTTCAAATTCAATATTCACTAAGTTAAATCTTCTCTATGAAATCAAGTATACAATTGGGAATGCAAGAGAATAGTAATACTTGTAGTCAAGTCTTCTCCTATCCAAAACAATTCTAAAAGCTATGAGAGAATGCTTACCTTTACATATTGTTATGCCATTTCCTGTGAACCCGGGGAGACAATAGCAGCCTTCAATTCCATTTCGAATCTCACATTTCGCATGTGGGTGACATTGGGTCTTGGCACAGTTCTGAGAAAAGGCCCCATCCAGCAAAGTGGACAAGCACACTAAATGAAAAGAAACACTTAAAATATACATTTTCCTTTTGTTTTTCTTTTGTAATTTAATCAGGGAGTGCACAACTCAAACCATATAATCACATCTATTGAAAAATTGGGAGGTTTAGAGGACAAGGGTTTTAATCCCCTCTGTGCTACTTATTATCTATATGTCATCTGGCAAATCCATTCACCTTTCTGAGCCTCAGTTTTCTAAAATGTAAAATGAGAAGGTTGACCTCTCAGGTACTGTCCATTTCTAAATCTATGATCTATGTTCCCATAAGTGGATTGTAAACAACAGATTGCAATCATTTTTTGGTAAGAATATTAACATTTCCTTGCTTCTTTCGCTAGTTCATAGAGCCTTCAATTAGTCTATTATCAAACATTTATTAAGTGCTATCTATCTATTTATCTATCTCTATCACTTATATATATATATATCTATCTATATATCTATATCATCTATCTCTATCTATCCATTCCTTTCTCTGTCCATCTATCATCTACCTGTCTATCTCTCTCTGTCCTCTTCTGTCTCTCTCTGTTCTCTTCGTCTCTCTGTCTGTTCCTCGATCTCTGTCTCTTTCTATGTCTGTCTGTGTCTCCCCACAAATATAATTCCTTGATAGCAAGGACTGTGTCATTTTTTTTGTCTTTGTATTCTCAACCCCTAAAACAATGTTTGACACAGAGGGGGTGTGTAATAAATACTTGCTTAATGATTGACTGATATCCTGGGTGCTGAGGTAGGGGTTGGGAATATAAATACAAAATTGTCATCCCCTTACCTCACAGAACTTACTTTCTATGACCCACTGTAGACTGAAGAGTTGGAAGGAACCTTAGAGACCCACCTAGTTTAACCCCCTCATTTTGCAAATGAGGAAACTGAGGCCCAGACAGGTAAAGTGACTACCCCAAGAACACATAAGTTATCACACCCCCACTTTGGGTAATTTTAAAGTTAAATTAAGATGATTTTAAATTTACTTTTCTAGAAATTTCTCTGTTTAGCAGCCGATGCATACTATGCCTGAAAACTTCTAAAAGTTTGAATAAGAAGTTGAAATAGTCTATTTTTTTTTTCTTAACTCAAAAAGTCATGGCATATGATATGGGGTCAATAGACTGTACTTCACATATGAAAAGAGCATCAGACATTTTAAAATGCAAACATTTTTTAAAAGGGAGATAATAATTGTAATAATAATAATGTAATCCAATCAATGATGAAGACTTTTCCCCAAAATCACCTATTTTCTGTAACACAAATTTTAAGCTTTTTCAGCCTTTATTACTGACAGAGCAAAGATCAATCTTCAGGAAATGGAAAGAAGCACAATCTGGAGCAACTTAAAAACAATGAAACACAGGACAGAACAAAATTTTATCTCTAAGTGAATGAAAATAAAGTTGGACAATCTTTAGTGGACTGTTAAGAAGAGATAAGGGAACTCCCTGGGAAGGCGCACCTCCCCCTTCCCTCCACCCACCCTCAAGTTTTTTTAAATGGTTGTTTCAAGAAGCCAACTTACAAGGAACACACTTGGGGCTGAATAAATATGAGTTATGTAAGTTATTGTTCCAAGAAAAGTCAGGAGATAAATTATCCTTATCTGGTAGCAAGAGATTCCCAGGCTAAATCCAAGCACTACACAGGCGCTAGATGTGACCATATCTCACTCAAAATCCATTTGCTGTCATCAAAGGATTTATTTTCTTCATATAAGAGCATTATTTAAAGGGGTGTTCAAATGAACCCCAATGCTTGTAGTTTCTATGGCTTGAAATGAAGGTCCTTCCAAGGAGCCCACTTAGTGCAGGGGCTTGGGATTTAGCAATTTCTTGTCCCTCTGGGCCTTTCTTTGCCAAGGGAGGGAAGAAAAGCAGTTTCTCAGATATAAAGGCCAGAGGACTAAACTATTGAGTTGAGAGGCCCAGAAGAGAACCAGGCCATGGATTTAGTACACAGGTTCTTAACTGGAGATCTATGAACTAAAAACAAAACAAAACAAAAACTATATTTCAATGTATTTGGCTTCTTTTGTAATCTTATTTTTAAAAATACATTTAAAAACACTATTCTGAGAAGGGGTCCATAGGCTTGCCACACTACCAAAAGAGTTCATGATGCAAAATAGATTAAGAACCAGTGATTTCGTGCTAAAGAGGACACTTAGTTCACTAACTGCATTTTATAGCTGAGGAAATTGAGGTCCAGATAGGAAAAATCACTTATGTAAGATCAAATGGGGATTAAGTGGTGGGATCCCATCTGAACCTGGGTCATATGACCCCAGACATTGAGGTTGAGTGTCACAATGATCTCCCCAAGTCTACACCCAAGCAAAATGCTGGCGTGCCCCTGCTCCCTCCCAGGGTCGAGGACTCACCTAGAAGTGGGATCAGTTTCATTGGCCACAGAGGGGACGAGCTAGAGCAGGATACTTCGGACTGGGGCTGTTTGGCTTCTCCAGTTGCGGCTGCAGGGAGCTGTTTCTACCCTTGCACCCTGGATGCAGCTGGCTAGGGATAGGGAGGTGGGGGGGTCAGCTGAGGTGGAGGGAGGCCCCAGTGTCCTGGAGCAGTGACGCTCTTCACTTCCTTCAGGGACTTCCCGGCCCTTTTGTGTATGTATGTATGTGGGAAAACAACGAAGCCACCTCCCATGTCCGGCCACCAGAACTCTATCCCAACCTGGCTTGATGCCTGGTTTTGAAATGTTCTCCTTATTACTCCAAGACTCTTCCACATCCTCTTAGTGCTCCTGGAGAAGCTTCTTTCTATCCCTCCCCCTCTACCTCTCCACAGCCATCTTGCTTATCTTAGGGGTCCTTTAGTGCAACACTCATTTTACAGATGAGAAAACTGAGGCCAGGAGAGGGTAAAGTATCTTGTCCATGATACTAAGAGACAATCAAGGTTTTAACTTTTATCTTGTGTTTCTAAATCTTCTGGAGAGCTCTCAATATTCCAAGCAAACAAAACCGTGCATCCCCACCCGAGGCCTAACCCCAAACCTTATACAAAATAGCCTCTTTTCTTGAGCACGGAATTGCACAAGCATATCTGCTTCCCTCCAGCCAGCCCTGTATATACAACTCCAAAGAGGCAGGAACCCAAGATTGGCTTCCATTTTTTCCTCCTAGCAGTTTATAATCTTGAACTCCTCTTCTGTAAAATGGGTTTGTTCCGTGACTCACCTACCAACCTCTTGGGATGGTTGTGAGGATGATTCATCAAAAAGCGAGTCATAGATTTACAAGTGGAAATAGGATCTTGGGCGTTATGTGTCCAACTTCATTTTACAGAGAAGGAAACAGAATCAGAGTAGTGAAATACTCTGTCCAAAGACACAAAGCTGGTAAATTTCAGAGCTGTGACTTGAATCCAGGTTTGCAAATCAGTTACACTTTCTACTCCTGTACAGAGGAATTACATTGTCCATAATATAAATAAATATAGTATAAATGTAACACAAACAATAATACAAATAATAATTTATAATTATATTTTAAGCAAACTAATTATAAATATAATACAACCATAATATAAACAGGATGTTTGTAAAGCATTGAATTCATACTCACCTCTACTCTTAGGAGAATGGAAGCTCGTAGAAGGAAGAGACAATTTTATTTTCATATATCCACTGTTTTGCCCATAATAGGAGTTTAAAAAATATTTGTTGAGTTGAATAGACAGTTTCTCTAGTTTCCCAAAATGTTCATGTGTATATCATTTTAGCTGAATAGCTAACATCAGAAGAATGGATAATATATTCTGGTTTAAAACTCAAATAACTAACCACTTTATTTTAAATTTGACTAGCTTAATTTTGTTCCAGGCTACTATAGCATTTTCATATTTTGGTTTGATTCCACTTCATGGGAATACAGTTTATCTGTATCAAAATGTATATATATATATATATAGCAAGTTCATTTTCAATATACAGACGTTTACAACTTAGCTTCAAAAAGCACATTCCTAAGTGTCTCTGTTTCTCAAAGAGCAGAGTCAAATTCTAAACTAGATTCCTAACTAATTCTAAGATTCTATAGAGCATGTGCATGTGTGTGTGATATAAAGAATAACTATCAAAGCAGTAACAAGGGTAAGGCAGCCACGGCATTTGCCAAGGGTGTGTAAAGGTATGGGGTGCAGAAAATATATGAGATACATACTTGCTATTCCAAGCAAGCCTTCCTATTAGGGTAGGAGTTACAATTTTATAGTCTTGTCTGGAGTAGGGGGAGGGGAGTGTGGCTAATTATTATACCCTACTGTTCCCAATATTTAGAATGAATACTGAACTCCTCTCCCAAAATAGTTTATTTGTTCCTGTGCCCCATAAGCATACTTTTGCTTTAATAGAAACTTGAGAGAGCCAAATCAAATTCAAATACCCTATAAAGTACCTTACTTTGTTCAATTCAAGCTCCATATGCAAAACAATCTTGGTGGGGGTTTAAAAGGTAAATGAAAAAAGTTTGTCTTCAACCCAAATAAATTCTCAGTCATATTTCCCCCTCCTTGTTTTTGTTGGCAGTTGGAAGTTTACTCAAAACAACATAATTCTCCTCAAAGGGAAGAAAAAGGACTCAGAGAGAATAGGCAATGTTTTGCAAAGAGCTTTCAGTTTTGAGACTGCTCTTTTGTAAATCTCAAAATCATTCAGAATACCTTTTATTGAAAAAAAATGTTTTTTCCAGGAATTAAGGGAGTCATTACGTGACTTCATCATTATATATCTAATTTACCTTCTTGAGGAAAAAGAAAAAGTTTAAATTTTTGTTTAGGAAAATGGTTTAATTTCTAAATTTTAATTTATCACCAAAAAAATACTGAAAGAAAATTTTAGGGGTTTCTTAGAATTACTATTAAAGGAAAATATTAAGAATTAAAAATAAATCAATTTCCCCTAGAACTTTTTCAGCGTTCTTCAATTAGGCACTGTGACAGATCATCAATTGTCTATTACTAGATGTTGTAGAGAAATCACAAGCTCACCAAGTCCAAAAGTGAACTCCCCAAATATCCTCTCTTAACTTCCCTAGTTCTATCAAGGGTACCACCATCCTTTCAGCCTTTCAAGTTCTGGGCATTGGCATTATCCTGGACTCTTTCCCTCACTCCCATAGCCAATCAGTTACTAAATGCTGCAATTTCTTCCTCTAAACATCTCTTCAATCTGACTCCTTTCCACTCACACAGCTACCATCTTAGTTCAGTCTCTCATCACCTATCTCCAAGATTATTGCAATAACTTCCTCATTATTGTCCCTGACTCAAAGATCTCCACACTCCAGTTCATGCTACCGAAGTGATTTTCCTTAAGTACAGATCTGACAGTATGGCTCTATTTAATGACCTCTAATGCCTCTTGGATAAAATATCAAGTCCTCTGTATAGCTTTGAAAGCCCTTCACAACCATGTCTCAACTTGCCTTTTTAGTCTAATTGGACATTACTTTCCCTACTGCAATGTGTAATCCAACCAAACTGACCACTCTACTCCTCACACAAGACATTTCATCTCTTTCCTGCCTTCATGCCTCAGCACTGTCTCACATGCCTGAAATGCATGACCTTGTTAACTCGACCTCACAGATTCCTTGTTGTCCTTTAAGACCCAACTCAAATGTCATTTCCTTCAGGAAGCCTTTCCTGATCTTCCCAGCAGCTAGTGCCCTCCCTCCCAAGCTACATTTTATTTCGTTATTTTATATTTATTTACTTTACATTTATACTGTGTACACACACACACACACAAACACACACACACACACACATACACACACACACACACATACACACACATATGTATTTCCCACCATTAAAATGTAATCTCTTTAAACAATTTTAAAAGAATTAAAGAGAAAGAGGGAAGGGAACACATGTTTATTAAGTACCTGCTATGTGCCAGGAGCTACATCAAGTGCTTTATAAATGTTTTCTCACTTGATCTTCATAACAACCCTGGGAAGTAGTTGCTATCATTATCTCCATTTTATAGTTGAAGAAAAGGAGGCACACAGTGGTTAAGTAACTTGCTCAGGGTCACTTAATTATTTCTTCCTAGAACTCAGTTCTTCATGACTTCAGGCCTAGTACTCTATCCATTGTGCAACATAACTGCCTCAATTTAGAACTTTGAAAAACACAATGACCAGCTGTGATTCAGGAGGGTAGATGATAAAACATGCTACCCACCTCCTGGCATAGAGGTCATGGATTCAGGGTAAAGAATGATCTAGACATAAAGTTTTGGATCTGGGTAATGTGGGAATTGATTTTGTTTTGACTACGTACTTTTGTTACACGTGTTTTTCTTTTCTTTTCTTTTCCCCCAGTGGAGGTATTGAGTTGCAGAGAGAGGAAGATTTTTATTAACCACAAAAAATAAGATTAAATTTTAAGGAAGAATATATTCTTCACTAGTGGTGAGTTTCATTTCTTGTATTTGTATTTCAAGTGCCTAGCACAGTACCTGGCATGTAGTAGGTGCTTAATAAATGCCTTCTGATTGATTGATTTTGTTGATCTTTAGCTATTGGAGACGTCATCATCGCCATAAATTGAGATAAAAACACTTCTCAAATACTCAAATGGATCTATTATTTCATCATTTTGGAAGTTCTCTCCAATGGTACAGGTGGCATCCTATTTATGTCCACCTGTCCTTTCCACATTTTCCTAATAGTTGACTACAAAGAGTCCACCCAGTCTTTTGGAGACCTTTTTTCATTTCTCCTAGAGCCGTGAAGTTATCAGGGGAGCACCCTGGCTGTCCTATTATTATCCCTTGCTCTTTCCACCTACCTGTCCTTTTCCTGGTCATAGTAACACTTCTTTGGGGCCTATGTTGTGTTTATTTGTGTCTAGACAGGATCATAGCTCTCAAGCCAGAGGAGAACTCAAGTGTCATCTGGTTCAGTTCTCTCAATTTACAGTTAAAGGAATTAAGGCTCGGAGAGAAATTACTTGTCCAATGTCACATGAGTGACAGATAACAGAACTAAGATTCGAACCACCAAAGCAAAGTCCTGTGCTTATTTCTACTATGCCATCCTAGGAGATAGAATTGATGCTAATAAATTAAAGAGAAACTTGTTAATTTTAGCATCATTGTTCTTTAGTTCAATTCAATTCAATTTTACATGCATTTATAAAGTACTTACTATTCGCCAGGCACTGTGATTGGTGTTGGTGGATAAAGACAAAAAATGAAGCAGAAGATGTAAGCTCCTTGAGGGAGCTTGCTTGTTTTGTGCAAGCTCTAAATCCCTAAAAAAAAGAGACTGCAATTGACTAAGACACTTTCAGGCATTCAAACATCCCAACTTGATCGTAAGCTCCTGGAGGTTAGGGACATGCACTCCGCACTCCTATTTCTTTCATGGGTCCCTTCTCCTTGCTTCTCCCCAAGCTACCTCTCCCTGCCCTAATCCTCAGAAATTGTTTTTTTTTTTCTTTTTTTTTTCTATCAGAAACTTTCCTAACGATAGGTTTTTGATAAGAACAGACCTGTGTCACATTCAAATCCAAAGATGGGAAACTTATTTTAGCCTCATCAGCCTTGAGTCTTTTAAAGCTTCCATC